AGCGAACAAGAAAATGCATTTTCAACGACCCATCGGAGAAGAAGGAGAAGAGCGGTGGCGGTGGTGGTCCGGAGCTGAAGAAGGTCGTCGATTCGTGGACGTCGACCATCCAGATCTCGCCGCGGGGGAAGTTTCCCTTGGAGCTAGGGAGGAGGCCACGGATTCACCAGCAGTCGAGGAGTCAAGGTCACCAACTCCAACAATCTCTTCCGACGCCGCCATTGTCGCGAAGCTCCACTATTTATCCAGTCCCTTCCGACTTCTCCACCTCCACCCTAATCGCGGCCGCCACCGCTAAACAGAGGGAATCACATCGTCTTCTCCAACAAGATCTCGTCTTCTCCAACCACCCACCACCGCCAAAACTTGATTCATCGACCCCCTAACGAAAACCCATCGAGCAGAAACTTGATTCTGCAGAAAATAAACACGATTTCGCCGCCAAAACCCATCTTCCCAAACTTCATCCTTCTGCACCAGATTCGCACCCAAATTCAAATTCAAATGTCTTGACTCCTCCCCAGCAGCAGTTTCCTCTTCACTCTCCCCACCGACGGCCTAAAATCCACAGCTAGGTTAAGCTCTCTCTCTCTCTCTCTCTCTCTCTCTCTCTCTCTCTCTCTCTCTCTCTCTCTCGTAGGTAGCAAAAATGGGTCCAAGCGTCTCCGCAACAAGATCACCGGCTTCTCCACCCACCTGAAGAAGCGGATCCAGAAGGGTCCCGTCTGTGGCATATCCCTCAAGCTCCATCAGAAGGGTCTGCATCCTTGCCGAGAGCCGCATTCTACCATCTTCGTCAAAAATTTCTTGATGTGTGGTGGAGAAGAAGAGTGGGAAAAGAGATAAGGGAGAGAGAGAATGGGAAGGGAGAGTATTTTCTGAAAGAGAGAATTGTGGTGAAATAAAATAATTAAGGAAATTATTTAAAATAAAAATTTAAATTGAGGTGGCTGTCACGTGGCATACATTTGATGACGTGTACATCCACATCATTGGAGAGTTAACGGTGTTAAAGTTTTGTAACGGAAATGGCTAAAGTTGTCAAGCAAGTTTTCAAAGTTGGCTATACGAGTGTATTTTTCAAAAAGTGGCTATATTTGTCACAACGCGAATAGTTATGGCTATGAAAGTGTATTTTGCCTTTATTTTAATAGGAGATTGGTGTTATGTATTTTTGTTCATCAAAATCCATGAGTATCCATGAATCCGCGGATATTTAGTGGGTTGAGTAGGAGGTTTTCAAACCTGTTGGATTTTTTCTTGGGGGTTTTTTATGATATATCCAATAAGTTGTGTTTGGATTTGATAGAAACCGACCTAACTCGACCCATTGTTATTCCTACCTAAGGTCGTACCGGAAAGTTAGCATTAGAGTATTTTTCTGCTAAAATCGTAGCTCAACTGTGGTTATATCAGGCTTAACACGTTGCTTCAACCTGAGCCTCGATTTATGTTATGAAAGACTAAAACAAAACCAAAAATTGTAAAACCATAGCGAAGGTCGTACCGAAAAAGTTAGCATTAAGGTATTTTGTGCTAAAATTGTAGTTAAATCAGCCTTGACCGTTGCTCCAATTCGAACCTCGATGTATGTGCAGAAAAATAAACAATTGTAAAACCATACCGAAAGTCATACCGAAGAAATTAGCATTAGGGCATTTTGTGCCAAAATGATAGTTCAACCGTGGTTAAATCATTTCATACCGCTAAAATCACCTACCAATTAAGATTCTTTTAGGAGTTTTTCTATTGGATCGCTGCTAATTAAGTGCGGTCACAAATCAAATACGGATTAGCAAATAATACATATAATCCTATGAGAACCTCCTAACATAATTTAACGTGATAGGTGATTTTAGCTGTATGTAATGATTTAATCAAGATAGAACTACGATTTTAGCATAAAATGTCCTCATTCTAACATTTTCTGTACGATCTTCGTATGGTTTTACAATTTTTGGAATTTTCTGAATATACATCAAGACTGTGGTTGGAGCAACGTCTCAATCCTGGTTTAACTACGATCGAACTATGATTTTAGCACAAAATATCATATTGCTAACTTTACGGGTATGACCTTCGGTGTGGTTTTAAAATTTTAGGATTTTCTATGTACATCGAGGCTCGGGTTGGAGCAACTGTCAAGCCTGATTTTAACCACGGTTGAACTATGATTTTAGCACAAATTAATTTAATGCTAACTTTTTCGGTATGACTTTAGGAATGGTTTTACAATTTTTGGTTTTTTTTGAACATAAATTGATGCTCGGGTTGGAACGTGTCAAGGCTCATGGTAGAATTATGATTTTAGCACAAATACCCTAATGTTAACTTTTTGTGTATGGCATTTGGTATAGTTGTACCATTTTAGGTATTATTTAGCATAAATCGAGACTCGGGTTGGAGCAATGTGTCTAGCCTGATTTAACCACGGTTGAACTACGATTGTATCGTCATGGCGGTCCAATAGAAAAACTTCTAACGGTATCTAAATTGATAGGTGATTTCAGCTTTATGAAATGATTTAACCACGGCTAAAGTACAATTTTAGCACAAAATGACCTAATGCTAATTTTTCTGGTACGACCTTCGGTATAATTTTACAATTTTTTTATTTTTATGAACATGCTTTGAGGTTTGGGTTGGAGCAACGTGTAAAGTCTGATTTAATCACGATTTTAGCACAAAACACCTTAATGTTACCCTTATCGGTACGACCTTCATTATGGTTTTACAATTTTTGTTTTTTTTTTTCTAAACATAAATCGAGACTCGGGTTGGAACAATATGTGAAGCCTGATTTTAACCACGATTGAACTATTATTTTAGTACAAAAAATACTCTAATGCTAAGTTTTAAACTTTGTTTAATTTAATAAAACTCTAATAAATAGCCAACTCTCGTATGAATTAGCCAAAACCAAAAAGAAGAAATAATACTCCGTCCTCTACTAATCACTACAATAGCCAGTGAGATTCTCAATTTCTTGAATAATTTAACTACATTTATCATATTATACTTTATTTATTAATTTTATTAATAAAAAATTAATTTTGCTAATGTTTTTCCCTTACATTACATATCCATGTGGGTCGACCTGTCTCAATTACCTGACCTGAACCCGATCTGTCAAGGAGTTGGTATGGGTATATAAATATCCTAGCGACCTGGCACATTACCCTTAAATTACACATCCGTGTGGGTAGACATGCCTCAACCCGCGCTTCTGAATAATTTACCTAACCTAAATTGACATGTCATAAAGCGGATATAGATATAGAAATACCCTACCGACGTGGCATACTATTATTCCTGGCCCAAAGGTAGCTAGTTACCAATGTAGGATGTAAGAAAAAAAGTCCAATTATGAAAGCCTAGAACGTATAAACCCACTGTGACCCAATTAAAAATAACCCAAAGCTCAAATTAGAATGGAGCCGACAAATGAAACCATGACCGTCACCCAAGCAAAAATAACCTACAGGGCAAAATAACAATACTCTTGTGCAACAGTAAACTCCTCATGGCTTTAATTATATTAGGATAATTAATGATGAGCACTTCTACTATGCTATATAGCATTGGTGCTTTAATGTACAACTTAAATTTGTACCGTAACATTAAATGTATAAGTTTAAGTTGTACCATAAAACAATTTGTACCATTATGTTATGGTACAACTTTACAACTTGAAGTTGTACCATCACATAAAGGTACAAGTTCAAGTTGTACCATAAAAGAATTTGTACAAAAAGTATAGGTACAATATGAAGTTGTACCATAACGTAAATGTACAATTTTAAGTTGTACCATAAAGACAAAAACCTATAGCATCAATACTATATAGCATTGTAAAATTTCTAAAATAGACAATTGGACCAGATTGACTCATTTGCCAATTGAAAATTTCGATGGAACAATTTCACTTGGAAAATTTAGTATGATACGTTTTTATTGAATTCTAATTAACTGTGTAGTGACAGACAATTCGGACTGACTCATTATAATCGACTTGGCCAAATTATCTCGTTTTGAAATTGATCCATCATCCATCCAAACCATATAAATGATCCATCCAAACCAATTCATATGCTACAAAGTTCCAGTAGCTCAACAAGTCTTCCAACCTATCGTCCTCATCATCTACACAAACACATGCCAAGTATACCACGTAGGAAATCACATCTCATTTTTGTCCTGGCTATCCACACACATACAAAAGAAAACAATTTAGAATGTCAGCATATGTAGTTCGGCTTTTCCTGACTTTTTATCAGCCCATTTCTAGGAAGATTTCGTTACTCCTAGTCACCAAGACAACAACTTCTATAACTACTTCTCTTCTGTGACTCGGCAGCAGCCGACAACGATACATCCAGCCAATCTTTTCGTTCCCTATAAATGTCTACGAAAACAACTCTAAGCCTCATCTCACCCCCAAAAAAGAGCCCAAAAATCCTACAATGGCGACCAACAGCTTCCTTCAAATCCCTTCTACTGTTCTTCTTTGCCTCTTCGTAGCCGCAACGTGTCTTCTCCCACATCCGTCCCACGGCAGCAACATCAGTGGATCATTAGAGAGAGCAAGCTGCATAATTCACATGGACGAGTTGCACTTTGGTCCTCACTACCGGCCCGCATTGACTCTCGACGACCACCGTTTCGGATCTTTAGACAGCCGCCATCCGCTGAGGCATAACGGGATGGCTTCCGTGGATCACAACGGCACGGCCCATGGATCACGAAGCCCATCTAATGAAAACCCAACCAAAGCGGCTTGTCCTCAAGTTTTCAAAATCATTGCTATGCTGAAAAATGTCCACCCAAAATGGAGTCCCATGGCCATAAAATCTGCTATAGTGACAACTGCCACCGCCATCGACCACGACGACGAGGGTCGAGCTCTGGCAGTTGTCAACCTGAACCGAGCTATGAATCCCGGTTTGGTTTACGACACCAGTCCAAAAGGTCATGTGGCTTTCCTTTGTTCTTTGAATTATACTAAAAGTCAAAATTTGAACATCACTGAATTTGAATTGATTCGTCATGACAATTGTTCAAGAAGAAGTTCTCGTTACTGTAACTATCCATCGTTCGTCGTGTTGTACGACAACAAGAAGACATCGCCACGGGTTGTTGTTCGGAGGTTTCGAAGGACGGTGAGAAACGTTGGAGAAGGTGGTGGAGTGTACAAGGTTGATGTGGTCGCACCAAGGGGGAGTTCTGTTACTGTTCATCCAAAGACTCTGGTTTTTGTCAAGAAGTATGAGAGGATGAACTACACGTTGACCGTGAAGTATGTGAAAGACAAGAAGGGAAGAGTTTCGCGAGGTTGGGTCAGATGGAATGAGATGCATGGGACACATAAAGTAACGAGCCCGATTGTAATAGCGCCTGCTGCTTGATTTGTAATCTTTTTTAGTTGTCCTCTCATGAAGTTGGTGTTGTCAGTTTTACCGTGTGTGTGAAAGAATAAATTTCAGTCAAACGTGTGGTTTGGTGTTTCTCAATAAACTGGGTGTTTATGCTTTTTCTAATGATTATCGGGAAATGTGTGGCTTGGTGTTTAGCCTGTAAGTGTCTATTACCGTACTCTGATACCACTTGTTGCTTGAATTGAGGGAGGAATTCTTACCTTCTCTTTGCACTTTTTTTTTTATATTTTGTGTAGATCCATTGAAACTAGAACCTGAAACCCTTAGAACACAAAGGGGTAAAGACACTTTTGACCAAATTTGTGCAGAATTCACTAGGAGTTAATTGTTTGTGACGTGTAGGGGTGTCAGTTCGGGTCGGGTTCGGTTACCCAAACCAAAACTCGAAAATAAAATCACAAAGGGGTAAAGACACTTCAAAACCGAAAATCACTAAAACCGAACCCGAACCCGATAAGGACTTACGGGTTTCGGGTAACCGAAATCAGAAAATTCCTTATCGGGTTCGGTTAAAGCAAAACCGAAATCCCAAAGCCCGAACACTCAAATATACAGGCTGAGTTCTATTCATTGGAAGTTTTTAGTCGGAACCCGAAAAACCGATAAGCAAAACCGAACCCGAACTCTAAAAACCCGAAACCCGAAACGAACCCGAACCCGAAAAACCAAAAATGTATATAATCGGGTCGGTTTCGCGTAAACCCGAAAAACCAAACCCGAATGGACACCCCTAGTGACGTGTAGGGCTGGTAACCTGTCATCCGATTAACGGTTTAACTGATAATCGATGGTTACCGGTTAACCATTAACCGACGGTATCAGGATACGGCAGACAAAACCTAGCTGCCGGTATACCGACCCATAGCAGGTAAGTAACCACCGGTTACTCGGTATAACTGAGTATACCGATATAGGCAAAAACCCTCCCCTGTCGATCAGTTCACTCCTCTTCCTCTACCCTGTTCACTCCTCTCTCTCCATCTCTCTAAAAAAATTCTCTCTTTCCTCCACAAACATAACCTTCACTTTGAGAGATTCTATGAAATTCCCTCATCTCTTTCTCGATTTGGACCATGGCGTCGCCGATTCGTCATCGTCAAAGGGATGCGCCATCGCCGGAGAGAGAGCATGAGCGATGGAATTGCTCCTCCCCCATCCATCACCTTTCTGGACTCCTCTGTCGTTGTCGTTGTGGCAGGGTCGTCCAATAGATCGTGGAGGCCCTGTTCCCAAAATTGAGATGTGGTCCAAATTGATTTTTAATTATAATAAAATTAAAATAATTATATAATTATTTGAAATGTAATATGTAGGAAACATAAATCCTAGGATCTTCTGCACTTGGGTAGGGATGGCAGTTTCTTACTATTTGATGGACTTTGATTGTTATTTCGGGGTTTTTGGGGATATTTACATAATTTGGATGTTATTCATTATTCGGGTAGTTATAGGGGATTTGTCAGTCTTATATATTTTGTTCGGGTGGGGTTTTTGGGTTAAGCAAGAAATAGAATAATTACTCCCTAAACCTAATTTTCTCTCTCAAACTCCCTCTATCTCTCCCTCACCAAATTCGAAGGCCCTCCTCCCCCAACAGAGGCAGTCGAACCTCTTCTTCTTCTCCCTCTCATTCTTCTTCGAAATCCGTAATTCCGATTCCCTAAATCCTCTTTTCTTTCTCAAGATCGTTACGACTATCCTAGCCGTACGCGTCCAGATCCTTACTTCCTTCGGTGGTATCAGAGCCTGCTTGACACGAGATAGAGAAGATGGCAGACGAGACATCTAAGGCGACCAAAGACACTATAATCGTCAAGCATTACACTAAGCACGAGGCCTTGCTGCAGGCCTTGCTGGACGTGGCGGTTTAGCAAGAGAAAACGACTAATCAGACGACTGTCAACCTCCAGGAACTGCGGAGTAGCCTTACGGGAACTATGTAGCGTATGGAGGAAGCCATTCGCCAGATGGCAGAGATGCAAGCGCGTTTCTTACCCTCTATGATCCTAGCCGAGACGGGATGAAGGGGAGAAATGATGGAGGCGGAAGCTAAGAACGAGGCAGGACACCTCGCGCGAGCGACTGCGTTCGATGCAGAGGCCTAGGCAGCAGCAGACTCGATCGCAGCGATGGCTGGAGCAGGGGAGGCGGCTCGGTGCACGGTGGAGGCGGAGCGAGGCCGACTAGAGGCGCTGGTGGCGGGAGGCGGCACGACAAGCAGGGAGAGCCACATGTTAGGGTTACCAAACCCTAACCGTGTGGCCCATGGACCGAGTCAGCAGGACAATGGGCCGGGCTTGTTGCCTACTCCTATGAGCACAGGAGCGATGGAGGGCCGTGGCAAGGGGAAGGCTACGGGCTACGAGGGTGGGCCGCCATATGCGTACCCCCGACCCCGAGGAGATGGGCCGGGTTACTATGGACCGGAAGAAGGGTTCTGCCAGCAGGGTACGGGGCCTAGTGGGCTGACCTAGGCCCAACCGGAGCGAACCTGGGCTGGGTAGCTGACCCGAGCCGGTCGAGATGGGTCAGACCAAAGAAAACTGGTCAAATAGGAGTCGAACCGAACCGGGTCAAACCAGGTCAACCAGACCCGCGCAAGACAACTGGAGGCAGCAACTTTGGTGGGCGGACCTGGGCCGCGGCGAGGCCAGATCAGACCTTTTGCCCGCCTTACTCGCCCTTGGTCACACTTGGGGTTGAGCCGAGCCGAAGTGGACGGGAACTGGAGCAAGGACAGGGGTCTGGAATCAGGCCGGGAGAAGTCGGTCGGTCCTTGGAAGAACGGAGTGGGGGTAACTATCACTCGCATATGGGCCGGAGTCTAGGCCGTATTATGGGGGCGGAACCGGTCAGTTCAGGCCGGGCACGGAAAGGTATGATGGATACTACTACCCGTATGATATGACTGATGGAATCATTTTCCGAGCTAAACCTCCTGTTATCGAATTTCCCAAATTTGATGGTCATGGAGATGTTGGGTTGTGGTTGTATGCGGCGGAGAGGTGGTTCAAGAACCACCCAACCAGAGAGGAGAGGAAAGCGCAGCTGGCGTCCTTCTATTTGGAAGGGGATGAGCTACAGTGGTGGGAGTGGATGGAGCGATCCTATGCAGAGGTCGATGTGGTGATCTCATGGGCTACGTTTCAGGAGGAGATCAAGTATCAGTTTGGGAAAGCAGATGGGTGGGCGCCGCAACAGCTGGCAAAATTGAAACAGATAGGTTCGGTAGAGGAGTATCGTGCAGAGTTCCTCAAACTGGGGAACCAATGCAAGGGCATGTCAGAGGAGACTTTGGCGGGGCTATGCATGGTTGGACTGCGGCCGGAGTTGGCCGAACCAATCAAGGTATTCAAACCTGATTCTCCTCGAGTTGCTTTTAAACTTGCAGGTTGAAAGGAAGAAGAGCTGGCTAGCTAGAAGGGGAGAATGGGGCGCTGGTCCAAGGGTGCCCGCGCGACGGGTGGAAGCGCAAGTGGGGGAGGAGCCGGAGCAGGCTTCATGGGTTCCATAAGGAGCCAACCAGTTCTGTTTTAGTAGGCCGCAACAATTCCTTAGCCCGTTTTAATCTGCATGTGTACGATAAGTAGGCCCGTTCTACAGAGGAAAGAGCAAAAAATTGACACTCACTATTCTACTATTCCTACAAACGCTCCTGAGGCAGGAAATTTGAAATGAGGGAATGATTTTTTTCTTCCTGCTCAGGGGCGAAGCTAGGATCTAGTGGTCGGGGGGGGGGGGGGACTTTTTTGTATAGTATCCGTTAAAAAATTTAAGAAAATATTTACATTGTGAGTCATAAGCTCCAAAATTTAATTATCTAGACTCCGAAATTTAATTATCTAAATTAGAAAAATGTTATAAGCTCCAAAATTTCATTATCTAGTTTGAACTTTGAAATTAAAAAATATTTGAATAAGTACAAAAAGTTAAGTGATCAGTCAAAATTTTAAACAAAAACTTAACCAAATTAAGAAAACTGAAAGAAAATTGTTGCTGCCAAGGATTGGAACCATGGTACTGCATATTCACAAGCAGCTACTGCATTCCGTTAGACTAGAGCGAGATATAGTTACTCATTTTTGCACGGTATTGTTATTCTACAATAGTTAACTTCTTTAAAATTTTCAAAATTCCCAATATTTTTACATGCGATCTCCAAAATTCTCGGGGAGGGAGGAGGGGGAGGGGGCAGGGCCCCGAAGCACAAGGTAGCTCCGCCCCTGTTCCTGCTATTATATTATGTGTAGATTAAGCAAAAGAATATAGCAACGACGAAAGTACATACACAACAGAAAAAGACCCACGATATTATTTACGTGGTTTCCGACATACATTATGCAATACAGACTATAGTGTTTCTACAACACTCTTTTCTGAACCCGAATTTCCCCAAATTTGTCGAGAACTCTTTTATCTTATCAAAACCACTCTAGCAAACTTCTTTTGCTCCCTCACTCTTTTTCTCTACTACGTACCCCACACTTTTATATTCTCATTCTTTCTGCCCGTTGGCGTCTGTTGCTTTCCTTGTTGGCCTTGATTTGCTTAATCATCGATCACCCGTGATTGGTAATTCGTTTCATCTTTACTCCACTGATTCATTGTAGTTTTCTTTCCTCAGTTGCCAACCGTGAAGTCGTTGACTGCCTTCACGCAACACTTACTGCCACATAATTTAACTATTCAAGAATCAAATATGTGATAAAATAACGAACCCGTTGCGAAGTACGACCAGTTATA